CTGATTGCTAGGGACACTGGGCGGATTATGCAGCCCTCAATCTGTGCATGTGTGTATTGAGTTTGCAGTGACCTGTTCTTGGTCGAAAGAATGTCTGGCTCTGTAAGGACCTGAAAGTACGATCTTTCGATCTACATGTGATCATTCAGCGGCTGCACCACGGCGACTTGTATATACATATATATCCAGGGGTTTCCACTGAGCTGGAAAACATTAATGATGTGAGAAAAACGGCTATCATTGATGCCGAATTCAACAAAGTTGACATAGATAATACTGCCCTACAGGAAACCTGTCTGCCAGAGGATGGGTCTATTAGTAAACAAAACTATACATTTTTCTGGAAAGGCAGAGTCTAGGAAGAAATCAGGATTTATGGAGTGGGATTTGTAGTAAAAAATTCACTGTTAGGATCTGTTGAGAGTCCAACTGGAGGAAGTGACAGAATATTATCCCTACGATTGTCTACCTCAAGCGGTTTTATTACCCTTGTTACTGCATGTTCACCCACTCTAACGTCAACAAAGGACGCAAAGGATTCTTTTTATGAGGAATTGGATGACACAGTGAAATCAGTTTCTAAATCTGACAGCATCTATTTGATTTTAATGTGATTTTAATGCTCGCGTAGGGTCAGACTTAAACTCATGGCCAGTTTGTCTTGGAAAATACAATGTTGGTCACATGAATGAAAATGGGCAGGGACTATGGAATTCTGCACTAGAAGTGACTTGGGCATCACAAACTTCTTTTTTAAAACTAAAGATCGCCATAAGGTGTCATGGAAACATCTAAGATCTGGCCACTGGCACCAGCTGGACCTTATTCTCACAAGGAGGCAGCACTTGAACTGTGTATCACTAACTCGCAGCTACCACAGTGCTGACTGTGATACTGACCATTCCCTAGTTGCTGCAAGAGTTCGGATGAAAACAAAGATAATTTTCACTTCAAAAAAGAAATGTATCCCTAGATTAAATATTTCCAAAACTAAAAACCCTGAAAAGTGTTTTGAGTTTCAACAACAGCTTGAAGATGCTTTCACTGATATCCAGGATAACTTTACAGCAAGCCTAAAATGGGATGAAATTAGGGAGACTGTTTACAAAACAGCTGTATCAGTCTGTGGGATTAGAGAAAATAGAAGTACGGACTGGTTTGAAGCAAATAGCCAGACACTCCAACCTTTAATTGACAGCAAAAAAGCAATACTTCTTAGAAAAAAGGAAAGAACAACAAGGAATACTCTCAATGATATAAAAGCAGCTAGAAATCATTTGCAAAAGGTAGCTAGGCAGTGTGCCAACAACTACTTAGTCCAGCTGTATGAAAGCATTC